AAGGTTTTTTAAGTCCAAACTATCCAATTAAGAACTGACACCTGGATTATTTTCCCTTTTAACCCAATAAATGATCACACAGAGCCTACAATGCAGATTTTTCTGCCCAATTACAAAATGCCACCCAAAGCCGTGAAGAAGGAAGAAGCAGCATGAAGAAGAAACCCAGGACACCACCCTGTGCCCTCCACCTTGCTTCCATCCACAACATACTAAAAATCCCAAAACTTCAATTTCTCACCAAGTGATACACCTACACTGTTCTCTATAATCTATTTCACACTTTTGTGGATTCCAGTCTATCTTGAAGGGTAGGAAACTTTCTCCATGAATGAGGGTCAGAGTCAGTGCTGCCCTGGGGGTCAGGGCACCCCAGAGCAGACACAGAAATATTATTGGCGCTCTGGGTTTGCACAGGCCCACTGCTGAGTGACGTGAGGGAGATGGTGACAAAGATCAAGGTGCTAAGAAGGAGGTTTTACAGAACCAGAGCTCATGAGATTCACCTCAGTCCCTGGCAGGATGCAGAGCAAATAACCCTGTAAGCACTTTTGGGCCATATGAAGGGCAAGGAAGTGTTTGTGGTTGTACCCATGATTTTATGAATGGGAAATCATGTCTAATCAACCTGATGTCTTCCCACAATCACGACTAGATCACTGGATGGGGGAGGAACGGTGGAATTTGTTTACACTGATCTGAGAAAGGCTTTCAGTGCTCACTCCTGAAACATTCCTACAGACAAAGGGATGGATTACAGCCTAGATAAGGGGACAGGGAAGTGAACTGAGGAGGAGAGGAGAGGAGAGGAGAGGAGAGGAGAGGAGAGGAGAGGAGAGGAGAGGAGAGGAGAGGAGAGGAGAGGAGAGGAGAGGAGAGGAGAGGAGAGGAGAGGAGAGGAGAGGAGAGGAGAGTCAGGGGGGAATTAAAAATCAGTCAAATAGCTGGGAGGGCAGTAAAGATGGAGAAAAGCAGACAGGTTGTCCAACAGGACAATAGACAGGAATGGAAAAATACTAAATTCAGGTAAATTGAGGAAAAGGCTTTCCTGCTCTGATGATAGTTGACCACATGTCTGCATTCCTGGATTTATTCAAAATTCAATTGGTTGAGAACCTCAGCAATCTGCTCCTGCCCCCAGGATTTGGGGGGTGGAGGGAGTGGGTGTGATGCGGTGACAATCTTCACAGGGTCCATTCTATCCTCAATAATTCTTTGGCTCTGTGAAGGAAAAACAGTTCTTAATAAAGGTGCTTGACAGTGAGCTGCTGGGACAAAAAAAAACAAGACTGGAATCCAAGAAAGAATTCACCACATTTAGATAATATACAATTTATGCATTTTTAGGCAGAAGATGGGAATTCATGTTTTGCTGGAAATGGAGTATTATGCCTCTATGGTTAGTTGACCAAAAGATATTAGGAGTGGGCTGATACATGTAATTTGATGAAGCTGAATGAATTAAAATGTGGTCTACACTGTATCTTTTTAGTTCATGTATTAGATTTCAAAGTCAGCTCTTTCCTTTTGCAAGCTTTTCATGCTGTATATACCCTAATCATTAACTTTCTAATTTAACAGTGTGCAGTACAGTGTCAAATTGGTTTTATGTCCACAGCTTCCCTCTGTGATATGTTACCACTGTGAAAAATTCTGTCAGATTTGATAGGAATAATCTCCCATGTGTGAATCCCACTGAGTCAAACTCTCCTTAATTAAATCATAACAGTCCAGCTGGCCTGCTCCATCTCGCCTTAGTGGTGTCCTCTGTTACCCTTTCTGCTTTTTTTTTTTAATTCTTGTATTTTTCTTAGTACAAAAGACAGGTATTGCACATGAATCTTTCCAAACACGTCCTTGCTGCCAGAAGTGTGCTGAATGCATATGCTAATATTGCCCCATTTTTTGGTGCTTGCCTCAGGATGCTGCAAAAGAGGTTTTCTCCTTTTGCACAGTTGCTAATCTTCAAATGTTCTAATTTTTTTTCCCTTTATTATCTTCTTTTTGCCTTTCTTTTTAAGTACCAGATCTGGCAAGATTCCAGTTCCCTTCAGCAAGTTTTGTTTTCTAAAATAATACCAGCTGTTCCTGGGAAAAGTGGCTTGTTTTAATGACTCCATTTCTTCAGTCATTCCCATGGGTGCTCTTGTTTCTCACGTGGCGGAAATGCTGCTGCCAGTTTTGCTGATATCTTGATTATTTCTGAGCTGCCACAGGCCATGTGCTCCTTGTCAAAACCTTATGCAACCTGGTCAAAAACAAAGTTGTTCAGAACTATTATGGGCTTGCTGGTGATAAAAACAGGGTGAGCACATAAACATCATCTGCATTATGCTGATCATTTAATTACAGACACATATACAAGGCACAGCTACAAGGCAGAGATAAAATTTCATCATTTTTATTCATGCCTTTCCTTCTCTTTGTACAGCTGGATAAATTTAAGCCTAGAATCTTTATATAAAGTATGCTTATTTGTTTCAGTAATTTCAGCAATTCCTCTTAAATTTTAAGTGCTTCCCTCTACATTTTAAATTTTTCTAATATAATACGCAGCTGGAGGAAAGGTATTAGAAGGGAAATGATCAAGTGGGTCAAGAAGATTGATTGTTTTCTTCCATGGTTTCTATTTCGCTCCAGAATATTCACCAAAAAAATGCTATAATCGATTTTAGAATGTGCTTTTATATGGAGATAGTGTTTGGACTTGCAGGGATCAATATGTAAATAAACCCCAACAGCTCCTTAGCATTCAGTTTACATTTTCCTCTAAGTCTGTGCACATGCTTAGCTCTGTGCCCTGTGCCTCTGCTGCTTCTTGCTTCAGTCTTGGCACACTTTTGATTTTTGCAGACTTTTATCACACTTTCTCATCTTTTTCTCCCTAAGCTAAACATTTTAAACTCTCTTGCCTCACATTTAATTTCCTTCAAGACTTTCATCAGTTGATAATATTTCTTTGGTCTGGCTTAGTTTATGAACATGTTGCATTTGAGCTCTCCTGTGTGATGTGGCCACCCGGATATTAGAGAAACAGAGAGAATACAAATCAGCTGGAATTGCACGTGGATCTGGGAGCTGGAGTTAATTAAAAGTATAACAAAAGCTTCATGACTGCTGTTTAGAAAATAGGAAGCTTTCTGGAAAATCATTGTACCAGAGTACAGAGATGCAGGAGTGTATTTAGACTCCTTGTATTTTTAATTTAGAGTAGATGGTTTAAAGAAATACCCAAACAAAGCAGCAAGCAGTGATGTAAAAAATTGCCAAAGTGCACAAGTGACTTGCAGAGTGCATTGCCTTTTACCTCAGATTACACCAGCTAAAACCATGCTGGCAGCCCAGAGGAGATGCTGCTTTTCAGGATATTTCAGAGATAAGCAGGTCATATAATTATATTATATGATTATATTATGTAATGTTAATGCATTATTTCAGAGATAATAAAAAATGCTTCCCAAAATCAATATTTACAGAGCTGGCTCAATAACTAATTGCGTTGCCTTAACTAAAAATAACAATTATATTAATTTTAAATTACACTGAAAAATGGCTTAATAATCTGGATTTCCTTTGGACTAGAAAAAACAATAGTTATTTGCAGAAGTAGTTACATTATAGTAGAAGAATTTACCCAAAAATCACATCCTGGAGCTCATGCCTTATAGGCCCAGATAGGTACAAACACAGAATTTGGACAAACAGCTGAAATTCCAAGTAGTAACTACCAACATTTGAAGTGTATCTATCTTTAGTGAGATATTTCCCCCATTTTGAGTTTTCACATCTCAGAGTGCCTTTTAGCCCAATAAATGTGGCATCAAAAGCCTTATGCAAGGAAGTGTTTCCCGAGGGATCCTGGTTTTGCCTCACATTCTCCTTGTGAACCACTCTGGGGATTTCTCAAACAGGGTTTCTGCCTCAGACATTCTGTTTTCCAGCTTCATATCCAAAGCTCTGCTACCTTCCTTGCCTGCTCTTTAACACCTTCTGGACTACTTCAGCTGCAAATTTAATTAATTTAAGTTATTAGATTCTATCAGGCCGTGCTGGAACAGTGAAGCAGTCGCTGTGTTGTATTTTTGCCTTTTCAGAAACAGAAGAACTTTTACAGCAGAGGGTTTGGCAGATGGATTCTTCCAGGCTGTAAATGCAGGGTTAAAGGATCCCTTTTTTACTGGCTGAACACAGATCAAGCATGTTCCTAATATAAGCCAGGAGCATGCTTTCTCTCATCAGGAAACACCATTCCTGGTTAAAGTCAGACTCTGCACTGTCTGATGGGCAGGTGCCAGAGGAAGATATTATATAACACATCCCATCAATTTTCATCTCCTTAAAAATCATAATTTCAGAATACACAATGGCAGAGAAGCAAGGAGCTGGCCCCAGCCATGGCTGAGGCCAACATCTGGCACTGCAGATGCATCTTCATTAACACTTCAGTTCATATTTGTGATACTGAAAGGCAGAGCAGAACTGGCTCTGCAGATCTCAAAGGGGAAAATAAATAGCAGAAGCAATAGCTGAAGAAACAGCTATATTTATATCTATATTTCAGAAGATCATTGGAATTGTTAAGTTATATTTCCAAAATGACAGAATAAAAAGAAAACCACAGCAGCTTATTCTACTTAATACCCATGTGTGCAGTCCCTGGGGGGTTAACACAGAGATTCTGTCATTTGAGAGAATCCTGTGGGAAATGGATTCCCAGGAAGCAGCATCTGATGCTCACATATGTCTTGAGCAGAAGGAAAGGGACTTCTGTGTGTTTCCAAATGTATGAAATCTGAACTTTTATTAAACTTTGCTGTTCCTGTAACTTGTGAAAAAAATCTCCAGTTCTATGTCACTGCTAGGGGCACAAAGTGGAGTAAAAGCTGAACTTGATTTATGCTATTGCTTAAAAATGTATTTTTCTGGACATTCTGAGAGTTAATTAGTAGATTAGATTATTTTTGAAAGCTAGTAGTTATCTGGAATTTGGGAATAAATACAGAAGCCATATTTGACCTGGAGCACCTTAGATCCAAAGTTTATATTTCACAGATTCAGGATGTATTTTGTGATCATCTAACCTGCTCTATGCATATTCACATGCACTTCTCCCTCCAACAAGACCATGGCAGAATGTGAACCACTTTTAGAAAGACCCCACCTATTGATTTAAAGGGATCAAATGAGAGATGACACAGTATATGCCTTGCCATGTCCTTTGGGTGTTATAAGTTGTGATTCATTCCCTGTTTCCATTTCTTTAAACTGCTGGATAATAACAGGGGTGTGTCAGATGCCCTTGCTGGGTTAAAGAGGCATCTGACAGATTTCTGTTCATCAGACTCTGACCCAACCACCTGTAAGTTCCCAATGTTAAGCTGGAGACTGTAGTTCCTTAAGTCTCTGTCCTGTTCCAGACCAGTTTTTGCTCTGACTGCTCCTCTGCGAACCAGAGACAGTTTTGAAGGGCACACGTGGAAGCAGAGTCCCAACAGCTGCAAAGAAATGCTCATTTTCTCCTCAGTGCTCTTCTGTTATCATGTATTTTGTCATCCATCCCAGGGGTGTTCAGGAGGTTGCCTACAGAATTTTCCAGCCTGTCCAGAGCCAGGTCTCTGCACGTGATTCTTTGTTCCTGTAGGAAGAACACTGGGATTTATTGTATTAAAAATGCCTTGGTATGCAATGCCAAACATTTCAGAGCTCTGTGATCTGCTCACAGGCTTTCTTGATTATCACATCTCAATGTTTATGTAATCTGAAAACTTTCCAGGAACAAATGTATGGTTACACTATCATTATGTCTCTGTATCATTGTAAAATAAGATTATATGCATACAATAGAACCGTATTTATAGGGCATTACAAGTCTCATTGCAATTATTTGATGCATTCACATTAATTGCAGTGAGACTATTAGCTTGACACATTCAATTCGATTTAGTATGTGCCATTCTGATTTTTCATGATGCTCTTGTTTTTAAGTTTTTATCTGAATGTTAGAGGCACAAAGCCAGAAGTCTAAAAATCCAGAAGTCTGATTATATTATATCAACAATATAGTCTCCATTATGATTCCTATTTTTAATCTTGTCAGAGAAAGATATCAAATCTCTTTGGCATAATCTGCTTTCCATTAAGCTGCGCTCTCCTCATTAGGCTTGTGATGAGTTTAAGCTGTTGCCACGCAATGAGAGGAATATCTAAAACAAAGCAATAAATATGATAGAGTAGGAATTGGGGGTTGGCCTGTTTGCTTCTGCTTCCTGGTGGCTGAAACATTTCCTTCCCCTTGCTTGTGACATTTGCCTTTGTGTGCAAGTCCCACAGCTGTGTTTTGGAAATCACAGATTGGCCTGGATTTGAGGGGACCTTAAAGATCATCCAACCCTCTGCCCTGGACTGGGACACCTCCCACCAGAGCAGGTTGCTCAGAGTTCCACCCAGCCTGGCCTTAAACACTTTCAGGGATGGGGCATCCAGCTAGCAACACCTAAATAATAAATAAATAAACAGATAAATGGACCTGATCTGTTTGATTATTATTATTTGTCTACTGGCTGACAGTCTGTACCACACACAGCAGTAACTGGAACATCCACAGAGAACTGGAAGTTTTCTATGCAGAATCTGCTTCAGAAATGTGATTCTAATGATGCAATTGCATAATACTTGAACAGGGGATCTTCCAGCACTGGTAGAAAGGCAGGAGAAGAGCAATGGTAAATTTTTTGTGGATCTCTGAGTAGGGATCCATGACAAGAGCCAGGAAATCTCCAAGGCACTGGTAGGCCAAGAGCAGTAGAGGCAAAGTCAGGGTGATCTCAGCACTGACACAGCCACTCCTGAATAATTAAAAATTATAGATAAACATTCAAGGGAGCAGAAAGGGAAAGAACCCACAATATGAAGTGCTTTTCCTCTGAAGTATGCAGTCTTTGCCAGCATGGCTTTCTTATTATTCTCATGCATATTTTTCCAAAGTATGATGATCACTTTGGGCCCAACCACCAAAATATCATGTTTAAACTGACCTGCTTTTGTAACATTTTTAAATAATTGACTACTGTCTTAACTTTTCTACTCCTTCAGATAACACAAGTAACAAAAATGTTTATCTACTTTTTGTTTCTTATTGAGTCCTAAGAAACCAAAGGGTTCTAAGAATTTAGGAAATTTACACCTCATAAAAAAAAAAACCAGCCATTTCCAGTTTCTCTGAATGAGTATGGAATAAAAATCTTATCCATATTTATTTGTATATATTCTGCTGTGATTCAAGAATATGTAATTAGAGTATACAAGTACATATAGGGAAATTTGCAATGTTAATTAATAAAGCTTCAGAATAGACTTAGGAATTTGTTTCCATGGGCCAAAAACCCAGCACCTGCAGCCCTCTGAGATGTCCTCAGTGTCTCTCAACATTCCATTAACTGACAGGAGAATCCCTTTCCAAGAGATTTTACTATGTATGGTCTCACACATTTGTATTTCAGAGGCAAGTGCAAATGTCTGTCAGACAGGAAGGATTTCTTCTCATCTCTCCCTCCCTCTAATTTGATGTGAAACTTCAAATGATGCATGAATAGCTTTTGTTGGAGCAGTGCTTTGGCTTTTGAAAGAAATGCACTTGACCATTCTTAGTGAGTCTTTTTAATTTGGGTATTCAGGTGGATTGGTAGCTACACCAACTTGGGGGTTTCTTTTGTTAGGTACAGGGGGAGGGGCAGTCAGGGAGAGGTTTTCTGATTTTATCATTTGCTGTCAGCTCAGAAGAGTTTATTCCCAGGGGAAGCTTTAAGGGTTTTGTTGATTCACCTTTGAAAAAACAGTTTTGATGGTAACTTGCATTTCCTCCTTATTTGTCTTGAGGACCCATTGGCTGTTATCTACCTGGAATTGATAATGTGCTCTCTCTGCTGGACAAAATTTATTATATCTCTTATTCATCATCTTAATCCCATACAAAGCTCTCTGCAAAGCTTTAGAAGCTTTATAAATTCCCTGCAACACATGCAGGAGGCTGCATTACGTGATGCATCTTCCACTCAGGAATTCTTTAAGTGGATTGTGCTCACTGCTATCGACCTCTGGGGTGGGGTCATGGATCTCTGACACAAATTTGTGTCCAGCATCGAGGTGGCTGCTCCGGTGTGCCATACACAGCATGTGCACTGTGGTAATGTTAAACTAGATTTCAAATTACTGAGCTGACAACAGATGGATGGCTTCTGTGTAAGAGCAGAAAGCAGGAGTGTGTTTCAGAAGATGGTATCTCTTTCCTAAAATATTTATCTACTCTTAAAGGCAGTGTAAATCAGAAGCTGCTGAACAAAGGCTGTCAGTATTACTAGGTTTGTGTGATTATCTCTCAGAATTTCTTCTCTCATCAACTACAAACAAGCCTGTTTTTTAGTTGTTGGTGGTTTGAAATTAAATATGATTTTCAGTCGTATCACATTAGAGCTGTTGCCTTAACTCACCTCTTATTGTTGGTGCCAGGCCTCACTGCTTTTCTCCCTTGCAAGACCCTGTTTGGGTAATTCTTTGTGGAAGCTGTGTTTCCAGCCAGCTGTGTCTCACTGTTCCAAAGCTGCTGAGCATCTGAGCCATCACTCTGAATACTACATAAATGAAAACAGTATTAGCATATTTGCTTGTTTTGTTGCTGTTGCAGTTCACCTTTAGGCAAGACTGCTCCTAAGAAAATTTTTGCTGTGTCTGGTGATGCTGGACCTCAATTATCTGCGCAGTTCAACATCTGTCTTGATTTTCTGATGTTTTACTTGTGAACCACATGCATAAATAAGTAAAGATTATGTACAAGGCAGGAACACAGGTTTATTCTGTTCATCTTAAAGGTTTTGCCAAGTAGATTCTGTGACGCTTTTTTATGAGCATTTAGTAGGAAGTGGGAGTGACTTGGTTTAGCATTTTAATATAAATAACTCGTACTCCATCTAGTGAGCAACACTGTAGAGAACATTTGTCTGTTCCTGTCACTGCATTCAGTACCCCAGTTTTCCCCTCAGAATGGCAGATGTTTGTGGCAGAATGGCAGAGCTTTTTCCCCCATATGTTCCCAAGAATACTCACTTGAGTTTGTGATTAAAAAGTTCAATTTAAGGGATTTATTCACCCAGGCAGCCCATAGTAATTCTTAAGCTCTCTCAGAATCACCTATGACTTTGTACTAGATTTAGGGACTTTTTTGAGTATTGCTTTCTTTAGCTACCTTGATTAATACATAAAGAAATAGAATGAGGTAGAAGAAAGAAAAAAATGAGGAAGAAAAGAGACACTTACTCAGTTGTTAAGTGCCACTTCCTAATGAATGTAATGCATGTTTTGAGTGGAAGGCTGAGAATCACTCCAGTCCTGTGCTGAAGTTCCTGCCATCAGATATCCAGAGGTGATACCTTCTGTAGGTATTCCTTTAAGAAGAAGAAAAAGGAGACAAACTATTTTATTAAATCTCTAAGCTATAAATGGGAGATTTACAGTATTGTATGATATGCTTGCTTCTCAAAATATACTTTAAATCACTAAAACAGTCATGGACAAACCTGGGAATTTTACTTTAAGTCATGCGATGAGAAATATTTTATATACATGTATTCCTGACAACAGCCTCTCTGAAGAGGTGCCTCTGACCCCTTTCTTTGTCTTCTGTAAAGATTAAACAGAATTCAAGCATGTAGTGATGAATGTGGGCACAATTCTTTAAGCATGTTTTAAAAGGTACAAGTACTTTCTGCATTAGAGACTCTGGCTTGACAGGGAAGCAAGTTAGGAGATTATTTAGCTGCTGGTGTCTCCCACACCAATCCCAGATTCCCAGGGTTTAAGCTGGCTGCTGTCCTCACTTGCCCTGCAGCCCCAGTGCTGGGAGAAACCAGCACACTGCTCAATACTGCTGCAATTTCATTTCTGTTCAGTGGCAAGGACAGAAAGCGGCACTGGGGACCCCAAGGGATGAACTGAACCCTGGGGCTGCTCCATGACCTACATCCCCCCCCAAACCCCGCTCAGTCCAGTGTTCTGGATTCCCCCTCAATCTCACTGCTTCACCCATGACCTCACATCTCCCCCTTCCCCCCAGCCTCTTGCTCTGAGTTTGAGTGTGATCTGAAATGGTTCCCCTGGATGTTAGTGTGGGCTCCTTTCCCCGGGGCAGGAACAGAACCCAGATCCTGTGGACGAGGATGCCGCTGGGTGGATAACAGACGAATGGATGGGTAGGGAGAGAAATAAAAGGAGGAATGGACGGATAAATCGATAGGTAGATCTATAAATGAAGAAAATAGATGATAGATAGATAGATAGATAGATAGATAGATAGATAGATAGATAGATATAAACTGATGATAAACAATACAGAGACCTGCCTCTCCGGGGGATTGTCTCTTCCCAGCCGGCCCCGCGATGCTGCCGAGCCCGGCTGTTCCTGGTCCAGCCCCGCTGCTCCTCCCCGTGACTTGCATCTTTTCCGCTGGGTTTTTCCTTTGTGGCTGCTGCTATCTGGTGGGAGAATGTGCGAATTGCAGCCGCTGGATTCGACCCCGCCGCCTCTGCCGCTCCCAGGGCAAGAAGCGACTTGCTGCTGGTCAATAAACTGCATTTAAGTGATGCCAAGGAGCGTCCAAGTCTCATCTGGTCAAGCCTGACCAAAAAAAAAGTGGTAATAGTTTTATATATGACAGATATACAGGGACTACTGGCTGTTTTCTATTAGCCCTCCCCATCATTGATGCAAGCCAAGAGTTATAAAAATACTTTTTCCCCCCTCCCAAATGTATGAACATGGCAGTAGGAGTATCATGACATCAGGATTGTGTTTCACCTCTCCAGATATAAACTCCTTGGAAAATAAATTAGCTATCATGCACTTTCAGTGGTACCTGCTAAATGTGTTGGGTTTGTATCTGTTTACCTTATTTTTCACTAGGAACAGTTTATGCACCTGTCAAACCTGAAATTGGTTTTCAGTTTGTCTTTGCCAATGTGTCCCCTCCTTTAGAAAATGTGATACAGAGATGAGTACCTGTCTGTTGCCTAAACAGTGAATAAATTCTGGATTTCTGCCTACAGAATGGATGTTTTCTGTGAGCCTCTTTTTTTTTCCAATAAGTCTCTTTTCTTTCAGAGTATCTATATATTGTTGGTCAAAAGCCCTGAGCATGTCAAAGGATCATCCAAAAGAAAGATGGATATTCACTGCTCAGCTTTGTCAAAATACAAAAGTATTTTAAAATAAAATAAAAGACAACATACAAGTGCGATAACAAGAGTCTAAACTTCACTGCTTTGTGTGAACAAGGGCCCAGGTAGTTCAGTGGTCACTCTGTATTCTGGGGGATGGTTTAGCTGTGTCAGAGGCCCAAGGACCATCCTGTGATCCCAGACAGTGCCTGGTTTGCAGTTGCTGCTGGAATCATGTGGGAGAAAGTGATCTGCAGCTGAGGCCAAAGGAAGTTAAACTGAGGGCCCCAAAGCCCTTTGCTTTGCCAACTATCCTCCCAAAAAGGGAGATCTCCACTGTTTCAGTAAAACATAAACCAGATTTCCCTTATGCTGGGGTTACACAGCTCTTACCACTCAGCTGGATGTGGTTTAGAAAAAGTGTTGGCCACTTATTTAACAGCTGAACTGGTCCCAGTGCCTTCAGAAGCTCTAGACATGAATTGAGGGGTGAGGCCCTTGGTGTTGGTGCATCTGTGTTCACCCATGCCAGGAGCAAACACCATCACTCCTTGATCTCTTGCTGATAGTATAGGGATAAAATGTTTCTAAAATCATGGAATATTCAGGGGAGTCAGAAAGGAAGGGTAGGCCTGGTAGACCCTGGGAAAATGTTAAGGTAGGCCCTGGGAAAATGTTAGACTGCACTTGTATAATAATTTGATGACTATGATAAACATTATGATTGTTAGATGCGATGATTATTTGGTAATTTGATATAATTATTGTCTAATTGTAACAAGAATCATGAGAAATGATGTTTGGGGGGGGTTGATGGAAATTACAAGAATCCATCTTGGATGAAATCAATGTAATAAAATAGAACAATATAAGTTTAATAATTAATATGTAGTTATATATTGATAAAGGTATAAAAACATGTTCATCCCAAACCCATGTTGGAGTCAGATTTGGGTCTGTGCCCCTGACACCCAGACCTCTTCAACAAAAGCACTGCATAGAATCATTCTGTGATTGTATGTTCCCGAATGCTAACATTGTGGGAATTAGTAAAAGTAAGAAGCTTTTCAGAAAACTGGGAAAGCAGGCCTTGGAAACAGAAAGAACAGAAAATTTAGAGCTAGCTGCAGCTGCAAAACCTGAGAGCAGAAAAAGTTACAATGGTACAGCAAGCAAGGGCATTGAACTATAGCTTGAGTCTTAGGCTTGGCTAAGATGAACTTTAAGACTGCAGAAAAATATGCTTAGCAAGGTAGTAGAAGGTTTAAAGCTTAATACTGGAGTCTTGTGTATTGTTAATAGAAAGAAGATAAGCAAGCTTTGTGTGAAGCAGGTGTGTGCTTTTAATAATTGGCCAAATCAACTGTTTGTAAGCTTTAGCAATATACCATTGGCTAAAAAGTTCTTTAAATGTTCTGTAAAAAAAAATCTTTGGCTGCTGCTGGCTGTACATGAGCTTTGCCATCTTCCTACTGTCTCAACCATGTCGTGAGGCTGATGCTACAAATAAAGCTCCAGGAACAGATCCCATCAGCCCCTCCCATTTGTGAAAAGGGAAAAATCCACACCAAAACAAGTCTCCTTTGAAAAGTTCCCAGTTCAGAACTCATGCTTTCCTTCCAGGCAGTGACCAGGCTGTCCATGAAGCTGTGCTTGAATGCCTTCTCCATTCACTTTCCCTTCAGGTACCACTGTGCCCTGGTTTCCAGAGCTGATCTCAGATGCTCATGCCATCCATGGGGTACAGGATTTGCAACCTGGCTTGCAGAAGGGCCAAACCTGGCACCAGGAGACAGAATGTTGGGTACTGGGCACTTCCTGTTACACTGGCTGAGATAGAAGGGTTCCTTTTGGTTTGCTGCTACCTTCTGATAATTTTTTTCTCTCCCATTGGAAAGAAAGACATTCTGAGGAAGAAAAGTGGAAGTGAGGAAATCTAAGTCTTAAGCCAGACATTGAGAATTGAAGAAAGAGCAGTGCAAGCTTACAGGATCATATATACACTTTCTTCCTCCTACCTAACTCATTTATTTCTTCCTCCTTTGTGTCCATTTTGGCTCCTTTCTGATCTGTGCATCTGCTTTGATGTCAAACTGCATTTACTGCCCTTCCTGCTCCTCCACAGAATTCCCAATACCCTTTTACTTGGTTGATTAGACCCCACTTTCCCTTGAACGTCTTTTGTGATTCCTTTCTTACAGGTGTCACATCAACCAACCCTTCCTAAGCTGTTCTCAGGATGAGTCCTGCCCATGTTTCTTTGTCCTTACCCTGCTTGGTCAGTCTTGACAGCCAAACAGCTTCATGTTTGTCCTCTCTTGGTCCCTCTTGCATAGCATCTTTCCCTCCTCTAATTATTGCTGGCTGTCCCCTTCTTCTTCTCTCCTTCACTTTCAAATTTGCTTCTCAGCTGAATCCCTGTTTTCTTGCCAGATGATCAGACAGATTTCCAGAATTAGCCTGTCCAAAGCCAACTTCTTCCCATATCCATTCCTTCCTGACATGTCCTTTTAAGACAAAATGTGCTGTTTCTCTGCCCTGGACAGCACATGGTCTGCCTGGTTCTTACTTTCTTACTATAATGCTCAAACACTTCTAATTCCTATTTTTGGCGAGCCAATCATAGAAAGATTTCTCCAGAAGCCTGAAGATTCTTGCCCTTGTTCATGAATGCCTGTGTGGCACTTCCATCCCTGAAATGTCTTTTTTAAGGCTTTCCAAATGTTGCTGAGAAAATCATCCTGTTCTTTGTTGTTTTGTGAAAAACAAAGAGAAAACCAAGGTTATTTACCAGTGAACTTGAGTTACCTGAAAACCTTGTGCTGCTTGGCTGTTGAACACGTGAGTTTCCACTTGAATTTCTCCTCTGAGTCAACTGAAAGAGCCACTGCAGGAAACTATGTAAGGAGTCATAAAGAAATTAAACAGAAGAACACAGGAAAAACATCTCAGTAGATGACACTTGCCCCACAACTTCTAGAAATTGAAATATTATTTGTTGACCATTTGAGATCTCAGGACATAAAAAACCCACCTGGGTTTAGGAATTCATGAAGAAAATTTCTGCATATTTGACCTAGGAGTGAGATAAAAGGTGGAAAAATTGGATCCCACTAAGCAAAAAATTTACAAAGATGAAAATACTTATTTGCCTTCAAAAGGCATTAATGGTAGAAAAGTGTTGCAGCTGAGAGGATTCATTTCCAAATGAGAAGTACTGAGATTGTCATGGATAGAGAGAAAGGAGAGAATTTTTTGCCTTTGAAGGATGCAAAAGATCTAAGCACACAGAGAATCCACAGAATGGTTTAGATTGGAAAGGACCTTCGAGATCATCTTGTTCCAACCTCTTGCCGTGGGCAGGGACACCTCCCACTATCCCAGGTCCAAACTGGTCAGGGACCACAGCTTCTCTGGGCAACCTCAGGGCCTCACCATCCTCACAGTAAGGAATTTCTTGTTAATGTCTCGTCTAAACCTGCTCTCTGTCAATCTGGCAGGTATCTTCTGTCCAGAATTTAAAAGTCTTTGGGGACTGGAGAATGCAGAACATGCCTGAGGAAATACATGAACTTAGACTTTTGAAGCAGGGAATTTTCCTTTATCCTTTGAAGCTGGAAGGTACACAGGAAGGTTTTAGAGTAGATGGACTCATGAACTGGTGTAATTTTAAATAAATGCTGCTGCCTAGGAAGAAATATGTTCTCTGTTGTGTCTGAGGAGCAGCAGCAGCATTTCTGCCTCAATAGAAACACTGAAGCCCTGACTTTAAAGGAGTCACCGGAACAAGGGGAGATCTGGCCATACAGCAATACCTATACGCTCATCTTTAAGGTATTCTTTGGAAATCTATTGCAGCTGATCCAAGGGGCAGCAGGAGTTCATGCTGCTGTTAACACTGAATTGGTTCTTAACTCTAGGAGAGGACAGACAACAGTTGGAGGTCTCCTTCTGAAATAGAAAGTATTCAAAACTCAGCCTCCCACAAACAGCCTGTGCTTGAAAACGCCTTTATTTCCTGGAAAATGTAATGCACAGCACATGAGCAACGTTTGCTACGTTTTCCTGTGTCTTTGTCAAGCACACTTGATGGAAGGTTTGTGTAGAACGTTTCACGTTTGCCTGGATTATTAATGCCAAACCAAACGTCTCAACAAATACCAAGGCAGCGCATTTACGTGCCAAAGAGTCCGGGTGGGAAATACATTTCAGAATTCGTCCTTGCAGTAGCCGGGAGGCGAGAGAGGAGGGAGATT